TTTGGATCCCTTGGAGACCTCTTTAAAGCGGAGGCTGTGTCTTCTCAACCAACCTCAACTGCTACGACTCTGCCGAATACCAATAGCAGAACTGCGGCTGGGTCGAGAAAACAAGCTGAGAAGCCTGGGGGTCTTCAGAGTGCCAGTATGCCATGCCTGTCCTCCACCCCTAAGGACGGGGTGAGAGCCGAAGGCATGGACAGGCAGGGCTCTCCTAGTCCTGGGGTGCAAACGGAGCAACGAAACAGAAAAGCTGAGGAGGGGTCTCCTGAGAGTAAAAAATTGCCTCCTGGAAAAGTTTCACAGAAGCCAATGGATGTAGGTCCCAAAATAAGCCAACTGAATCAGTCGGCTGTGCAGCAAAGCAGCGCATCCACAGTTACACCAAAGCAACAGGGCGGAAGTAATGCAGGAGGCGCAGTTAATCAGGCAAAACCAAAGCCAGATCAGACACCTAAAGAGTCGGGTTTCAGTTTGCCGTTCAGCTTGTCTGATATCACTGGTTCAAAATCACAGCCGGCACAGCCAGCACAGCCAGCCGGTCGCAGCATCTTCTCCTTCTTCACTGGATCAGATGAACCAAAGCCTTCAGCACCTGCTGATGCTCCTCCTGCTGGGAAGCAGCAAGAAGCAGAGGGGCTGTTTCGTCTTCCCTCCTTCTTCTCTAGCAGTCCAGCTGCTGAGAAGAGCATACCTCAAAGAAGTACTAGCTTTAGTTTTTTCAATTTGACATCCTTTTTGGATGAAAAGCCACAAACTGTTCCAGGACAGGAGAATAATGCAAAACCAGCTAAACCAGTGAACACTAAGCCATATGTGAAGCAAAACATTTCCACTGAGTCTGATGTCAAAATTAGCAATTCTGCCAGGCAACAAGAGGCAGTCAATAAAAAAGAAGTTGATGATATTATTGCAGCGGTGACTGGCAGACAAATGTCTAATAACCTCACGATCTCAGAAAATAAATTGGAAATGCTGGCAGTGAAAAATGTAGAAAGTGTTCCTGAGGTAGCTAAAGAGGGTGACTTGGAGAAGCTTCCACAGACCAATGATGCTACAGTAACCAATTTGGCTGCTTCTGGTCCTTGCCTTCAGACTCCCAGTGTGCAGGAGGCTTCTCAGGGCCAAGAGACTGTTTCCTTAAGGGCAGAAGAAGATGCTTTGCGTAGCACAGGGAAAATGGACAGCATTGCATTGCCTATTGATAAAGAGGAGCCTTATTCTTCAAAAGAACAAGCTTCTGAAAAGGAAGATTGTAGTATGACGTTAGGTGATAAAATGGATTCCCAGAATCTAAATGACTTAAGTGTCATGAGTGATGTAAAAAGTGAAGTGGTCTCTGAAGAAGTATGTGCACAGCATGAGCTGCCAGAACATAAATTACCTGAACAAACTCTTGGTGACAGGTTGCAACAGGCCCAACAGCTACACTCACCTTCTAAAATGCCGGAGGCATCTAATTTGCAAAACAAGCCTAGGGAATCTGAGAGTGATAAATCAGTACTGGATTCTTCAGTTGAAATGTTTTCAAGTTTCATGACAAAAATGAAACCGCCTAAAACGTTATCCGGTTTCTTTTCCCAACCTCAAGCTACCGCACCTCCTCCTGCACAAAAGAAAAGCTCCTCTTTCTTTGGTTTCTCATCCCTCCCAAGTGGCCCAGCACCAGCTTTCACGAACGATCTCTTTGGCATATTCAAAGGCCCAAAAGAATCTCCAAAAGAGATGCCTCCAAAATCCACCCCTAAACCTCAAAGCAGTAGTGTGAAAAATGTCACTGGGTCTGTTCCAGCAAAAGTCCCAAGGGAGACAGAAAACACAGCTGCAGCCAGAGAGCCTAAAAGAGATGTCATGAGCTCTCTGAAAGAGGATGTATTACCTGTATCAGCAGAAGAGAACTCCACAAAAGAGACTCCTATGAAAATAGAAACTGAGGAAAATAGGAACTCTGAGACCTGTGAAGAGGAACCTTTGAAGATCACTTCAGAAACAACAGTCCCCAGTGAAAATCAAGCCCTCAAGGTTCTGCCAGTGGATAATGATGCACAACTCTTGGACACAGCAGATGCTAAGCCATGCCGGCCTGATTTCAGTGGTGTGGTTGATACAGTGCAGGCTGAGGCCACTGACCAGGCTGATGTAAATGCATACCAACTAGATGCGGGGTCCTCACGTGCAACAGAGGAACAAGCTGCTTCTACAGACAAGGCAGCCACTGACACCCTTCAGACTGGCTCTACTGATGGGCTTGAACTGGAAATGGAAGCCCCAGCTAATGAGGCAAACTCAAACCTTGCCCAGTTGGAGGAGAGTGCTGCACTTGAGTTGGAGCCTGCTGTTACAGGGGATCATGTTGATGCTGTTGCAGGGAATCAGGCCGATGCTGCTACTGATCAGCAGGACATGATCAGCAGTAATGGTAGAGAACCCACAGCTCCAGCTGAGGAGCCCAGTGTTCATGTGCTTCAGCTGAAGGAAGAGAAGACAAGTGAGGTAGAACAGCAAACTGCTGAGCAGAAGAAACATTTAGCAATTGATGAGGAACCTGTGGAAGCGATCGCTTCCAAATGCGACTTGAAGAAACAAGGTAAACCTAGTAATGTTCCTCCAGATGCAAACAGTAATAAAACAGTATTTGAAATACCAAACATACCCAGTTTGCCAAAATTCAGCTTTATGTCATCTGCTGAGAGTGGAAAGCCATTTGGGTCATTCTTCTCTCAGCAGCCACCTTCTGTTAATAAAGCAGGGGCAGACCAGGGCCTCATGTCCAGCTTTAAGAAACTTTCTTCAAGTCTGTTTGAAGGAGGTAGTGAAGAAAAAGGGAGTAAGCCAGAGACTACCCAAGGAGCAGTATTTGGGAAGAAGCTAGATTTCTCCTTTCCCTGGCAAAAAGACACCAGGGAGACCTCTGCCAAAAGGGAACCACATGTACCACCACAGGCTTTGTCAAAACCAGATGACAAGGTGTTAGGAACAGTCAGTTCAGATGGAAACTCAAAATCTGCAGTCTCAGATCAACTGACTGAAACAAATATAGAAGTAAACTTGTCTTCAAAGCAGCCTGACTCTGTAGACAATGAACTTTCTGAAGAACCATCTGCTGAAAGTGCTGTTGATGATACATCCAACAAAGAGCTGGGAGAGAAGTTTCGTAAGGAGTCAGAAGATCAGCAGAACGTGATTCTGAGTGAGCCGCAGAAGGAAGTTCAGGCAGAAGAGCACCCACCAGACAAGCCTGGACTGAAAGACACTGGGCTTGATTCTGCTCCTGATGGAGCCACACTTCATCCTAACACACAGGCTGCAGATCTGAATAGCGTGGAACAGCTGAATGAGAAAAGGCTAGTTACAAATGAGGCATAATAAATGGTTTCAAGTGTTTGACCATTTATAATGCAATACTGCAGCGGTAGATATTGGCCTTGGTGTCTGACATTTGTAGCTCAGTCACATCCCCTATTTGTTGTCAAGTGCTTGTAGTATTCCTGACAGTTGCCACAGAGGATGTGGAAAACTGCAGTCGCTAGTTCTGTACAAGCCTTTAGACCATTTTCACATCTTCTTCCACTCTTTTTTCTGTAAGTGTAGTTGGATTTCCCCTGTTCTTAAACTGTGTCGCACTGAGTAAGATGCTTTTAGTGCTTATTTCACTAGCCTTTCAGAAGTTATAGTCTTTGTGTATTAATTCTGCTGCATACAATTCACTTTGCTTTCTTGTTTAATGATAATTATGTTGTATTTGCTAAGGAAAAAGTATCAGTAGATAGAATGTATTGGAAGGAGTAAGCTTTTTGTTTTCGAAATGCAAGGTAAAGGCTTTTAATTTTAGAAATTTAACTTACTGCTGACACATTATAGAGCTAATGAGGTTCATTTCACGTTGTTGAAGATTTTAAAACATTTTCAGAGATATCAGTGAAGGTATTCTAATGCTTACTCTTCCTAAAATCTGTGCAAAGGTTATTTCATGCAGTTAGGAAAGCCACTGAAGGAAGGTATCAGTCTTTCCTGAGTCTGTATTCAGTCTTGTGGATGCCTTAAGTTACAATTGCCCTCAAGAATCAAAACAGAGACTCACTAAACTTATATATCTCTGCAATGTAAGTGAAACTTGCGCTTTTGTTCATGCAGTTGCAACTTTATATGCACTCCCAAAACTTCCTATCTGGCTTCAAATTCTCCTAAGTGTGCAAGTTATATTATAATAATAATACTGATAATGCTAATAATATTACTAATAATATTATTACTGATTAGTTCTTGGCGGTAGTTTTCCTGACTGCATGAGAAATTTCCATTCACTGTATTTTGTATGAGGATTCTAGGAATTCAGTCCTGGAAGTGGTGTCTTGAATCACAGAGATCACACCCATGTGGTGTTGGCTTTTTATGTAAATTAAATTCTTGAAAAAGCTCTGTTTGAGTGTGACATGTGGGCTTCCCTTCAAACGATTGCTCTACTTTTGTAAAAGGTTTTAATTGATAGTCATGATAACCTTAATCTTGACTCCAATGTATTTAATTGTAAATGTATAATATATCTCAAAATAGAGTTAACTTCAAGTTAACTGTGCTACTTAAGGACAGACAGCTTAAATGGTCAGCAGAAGGACCTTGGCTGCAGTGAAACTGCAGAGGACAGAAACACTTCCACTCTGAATTGCTATGTTTCCATTCTTATTCCCCTCTGGTTATTAGAATGCCTTCACTGGCTGTTTCTCACTGATTTGAGGTGAAGAAGTAGTCTGTGCAACAAAGACTAGTGACATTTATGGTCTGTATACTGGTAGGCTGTGTTTGAAGTATTTCTATTGCCTACCAAAGTTTTGAGGTTCAG